TGTAACATCCTCTAGAACTGTGTTCAACAAAAGTTAATATGAACTTTTCACATTTTGAAGCAATAATTTAAATAGTTTGCATACTTACTGTCTTCAAGCCTCTCACAAAGATAATTTCTTTCTTCTACTAAGGATGCTACCTTTTCTTCCAGACTAATTATCTTCACCTGCATCTCTACAGTCTGTTTAGCGTTTCGTAGTGCAGACTGGACTGTAGGAGCATCTTGAAAGTCAAACCAGAAAAAGTAAGTTTTGCTTACATAATGTCATAATGAAAATATTTAGGATGAATTTCAAGTACATTTTATAAATGAGGCCCCCGGTCTTAACTCCTAGGATCTGTTATTTGTTATTTCCAGCATGATTAAACATGCAAAACAAGCACATATAGTAATTCCTACTCAAAGCTATTGGCTTCCTTGTAACTCAAAAGGCAGATTAAGTTAACATGTTCTCTCAACACAAATACCACTTGTTCTCCTATTCTGTTTCACGTCACTGTCTTCTGGGTTTGAACTTTCTTCAGCTGTTCTGCAGGTTGAGTGGTTAAGGAATGATGCTCCTTAACTAGTACAAGACATAAACAGAAAGCATTCAAACATTAATCTTTTGAATGCTTTATAATTATACTATTAAGATTTCCAGAATTCATCCAGCTATAGTTCAGCAAAGAATTGTTTCCTTTTTATATGGACATTTGTGCACTATATCTTAATCTTCAACAAGAGAATGAATTATAGTGTTTCCCACCCATAGGTTATTATTTGATGGAGCACCAAGGTATATAGATAATGCCAAAGTGTATTTTGACCATTTAAAAAAAAGTTTTTTTGTTTTTTTTCTATTTGTTCGCTTAGAAAAAATGTTTGAATATGAGTGCTATGCAGCTCAGGTCAGAGGAGGGGGAAAGAGGGAGAGACAGAGAGAGAAGGTGACAGCGGGAGAGTGAACAGCAACAGCAACTCTTGCATAAAGTAATCTAACTACACGTAACTAGCATATTTTTCCTGGCTGAACATGCTTTCTCTTAGTTTGAAAGAAGGCCTAGTTGTGCTTACATTACTGATTAATGTAATATTTGCATAACAGATGAGCACTGAGAAATATTTTAACAAGAAGCCATGTGAGAGGAGGAGACTTGATGTTATTAAAGACTAGCTTGTGCCTTTGTTTTCAGCATATGTTTAACCCCTTTTGCCAGCATGTACGGTTTCTTCTGTCAGGCACACTTCACACTTCGGCTCACTGTTGTTCACCTGTCAGAAACATATACAAATGGCTGCTAGGCTGTAGTGCATCGTACCAGTAACATATTACGTACTACAACAGTAGTATATATATATATATATATATATATATATATATATATATATATATATATATATATATGTATGTGGGTGACAGTATAGTTTAGGGCTGTAAATAAAAAAGTCTTGGCGTTTTCGCTATAATGTGGGAAACGTGAATTATGAAAAGTGAAAAGTGAATTATGCATACTATGTTTCTTAGATGGACATGCACATGACATGGAATTAATAAAGTGATCCTAGATGTAACTGGCCACTATTGCCGATGATGACTAAATAAACACACTTCTCTCAAAAATACAGGAACTGCTAGCACGTTTATCAGCATTTGCAGCCACTTGCTTCACAGCTTTCTTCCCTGAGTTGATGGACAAACCTGAAACAATTCAAAATAAACAAAATTAAGCAACCCTGAGTTTGAAAAAAGGTTGTAAATATAACCTATTGTTGTTATTATTATTATTATTATTAGTAGTATTATTATTATGTAACACTATGAGTGATGCATTTGGGTCATTCAGTACTAAGGTAATTATTTGAATGTTTTGTTGTGTGAACTGAAAAAGATGAGTATGTTATTGTTTTGCAGTTTACAGTGACTGAGGCCTGATTTACACATTCTTCCTCTGGGTAGTCATGAGTGACGAGGGACGGCTTAGTTTCCCACTTCGGTACTCATTTTAACATGTCAGCGCTTTTACACAGGCTGCGCAAACGAAACAGCAGAGCATCCCAGATGCTACATTGAAGTTGAGTGATATTTTGAGAATCGACTAGGAATTAATTTTACATTGAAATAAGCCGTGAAAATCACTGATAACTGAACAGAAAACCGAATAAAACGTTTTCACAAGTTCTTTAATTAATGAATGTTATTAAACAAAATACTTGTTGTACTGCACATAGATTTCCCGGTTGGTCTATCAGGCTTTAGCCCATTGCAAATCAGAATGCTGTTGAGGCTAAACAAATGTACCATGCTGTTTTAAAAATTATATTTTATTGAGCAGAGTGGCTAATTGTATTATCAGTTGCATCGCTCACGTCAGTCAAAGGTAGCAAGTGTGAATCAGGCATCAGTCACCTAAGAGTGCTATGTTATGACTAACCTACAGACTTGATTATGGTTCGTTTTAGAAGCAGGGCTGCCAACTCTCACGCATTGCTTTCTTACGTCACACTTGCCATTTCACATGCCTTTTCACTGCCCTTGAAACAATCTCTTGATGAAAAGTTCTCTTTCAAGCATTCGTTTCAGTATCTCACTATGGGTATGCCCCTCTGCGTAGTCCTCAGAAGCACTTGTATCAATACACCAGCCCCTATTGGCTGGCAGCCGGGACGTGCGCGTCAGTAAGGAGCCGCCCCTCCTCCGTATTTAAGGGCTGACGCAACGTCACTTTGTTATTCAAAAACCTCTTCTCACTTCACTCAGAAGCTCAGCTTCGACGCGACCACACCTGGGCGCTTAGCTTAACTGTCCACAGCCTGAGCTAACAACTCGGTCGCCAGGCGCTAACTTGCCTGCTTGTGCGGTGGTGTTAACCTCATTCCTTCACCATAGGAAGAGGCTCGAAGCTAACACGGTTCGGCTGTCTCCAAACAGCGGACCTGGTCACTACGTTGTCTCCAAACAAGTAGCGAGCTAATCAGTTGCTAGCTGACTTTCGGCTAGCATTGGTGGCTATACCCACCTAGCTAAAGTTTTGTAAAAAACTTCTCCCTTGTTAACTCGCAATGGCGGAAGCGCCCACGGGTGCTTCTAGCTCCAAGGTGGAGGAGAAACCCCCTCCGCGAGTGTGCCCATGCGGCAGTAAGATTTCAGGCACGGACACTCACACCAGATGTGCTGCGTGCCTCGGGCTGCAACATGCCCAAGCGGCACTAACCTCACCCGACTTCTGTGAGCATTGTGCACGCCTCTCCCTCAGCTAGACTGCCTGACCAAGACCCGCTGTTGGGAACTACACCAAGTTCAGCGACCCCGGGTGCGGAGGACTCTGAGGCGCCTGCCAGCGCGAGCTGGGGCGATTAGCTTGATGAAGCTGAGCCACTAATGGATGACTTCAGTGGCCTCACAGCCATACAGTGGATCTCCGCGGTCATGGACAGCGAGTCTGACTCACTGGGTGAGTCTGAGGGGCTTTTTTCTGAGGAAGAGGACTGCGATGAGTCCACTTTCATCCCGTCAGCCCAGGCTACCCAACCGAACACCGTGGGAGTGGACGGCAGCGATGCCGACTCACCGCCCCTCAGCGTGGATCTGCAGGATGTGTGCAAACGCGCAGCAGAGCGCTTGGGCATTCCGTGGCCCAGCGTCCTGGCAGAGACTACCAGCTCCCGTTATGAAGGGAAACGGCTACCCAGAGCCAAGCGAACAGCGAGACAACTCCTACCAGTGTTCCCTGAATGCAAGGAGGAAGTAACTCGCGCCTGGAATAAACCATTCTCTGCCATTCAGAGAGGGTCAGTGCTAGATTGTGTGGATATGGAAGGAAGAGTCCATAGTGGCCTTCCACCTGCACCCAGGGCAGAAAACCATGACTGGTGCCAGCCCTACATTCCCCTCCAAATCTGATGGCTTCTAGTCCTCCATGACTGAAAAGTCATATCGTTCGGTTGCTACAGCCGTCAGAGCCCTCAATGCCTCATCCATGCTCATGGCATACCAGGCTGAGCTGCAGGAGGAGATGACTGCCAAACCAGACTCAAGCCGCTGGGATGAGATCTGCGTTGTGACTGACCTCTGCCTTCGACTACACAGATGTGCTGTCCAAGCCTCTGGCAGAGCAATGGGTATCATGGTGGCACAGGAGAGGGCCCGGTGGCTCAATCTTTCTAGCCTTTCTCACAAGGAGAAGGTTCAGCTTCTGGATGTTCCAGTGGCCCCCAGGGCCTGTTTGGTTCTGCTGTCGCCGCCATGCAACAGCGCTGTGAAGAGAAGAAAAGGGAAGGCGAAGCTTTGCAGATATGTCTCCCCAGGAAGACACACATGACCCCATCTGCTGCTCCTCACCAGACCTTTGCTCAGGCAGTGGCCTGCCCACCTCCTGCCTTCAGGATCCCTAAGCGTCCCATGACACAAACGGGACCTCCTGCACAGCCCAAGTCCCTCGATGCAAGAGCTGCTTGGTCCAAGAACCCCCCTCTTCCTACCTTGACGCAGAGGAGTCAACCAACCCAGGCCTCCACTCAGGGTGGGAAGAAAAAGCGCTGTGCTACCTAGTGCACAGCCGTGGGAAGGGAGCAACCAGGATGGCCAGATGCTGGTTTCTCCATCCCCCCAAGAGTTGCAGTTCAGGCGTGCTGAGCCCCAGCTGGTGCTCAGTTCGCACAGCCCAGCAAAGAAAGTGTTCAGGTGGCTGTTCCTTTAATTCCACCAAATTCCAAAAGCACACACCAGTGTTCTTTAATAAAAGTGTTCCCCGCAGTGCATCCAGGCTTGCAGCCGAGGGTGCTATCACATATGTTACAGACACATGCAGTGTTAAAACACAGTGCTCATACCATGTTGCAAAACATTTCAGACACGGTGTTAAACAAAAATATTTCTGCCCACAAAAAAGGTCACATAAGCACCTGGATGGCCAGGGCACAGCTCCCGCTTACACCAGCAGATGGTGTACATGCACCATCGGTGTCAGTGGAGCGCCCCTTAACGCCGCCCGCTGTAAAGAGAGAGGCATGGCACGCATGCGTGACCTCAAAATGGGTGTGGAGAATGATAGACAAGGGGTACAGACTCCAATTTGCCATCGTTCCACCGCAATTCAGGGGAATACTGTTCTCAAAAGCTCTGGGCGCATCAGCTCGTGTTCTTCAAGAGGAAATATCCTCATTGATGAGAAAAGGAGCAATAAGAATTGTGCCTCCCAAAGAGAGCATGTGCGGTTTCTACTCAAGGTACATTCTGGTCCCAAAAAAGGGAGGAGGTTTAAGAACAATTCTGGATCTGCGTGCTCTAAACAGGCACCTCAGACAGTTCAAGTTCAGGATGCTGACACACACAGCCCTGTTGCATTTTGTAAGACCAGGTGATTGGTTCAGTCGATCTACAGGACGCCTATTTTCACATCCCCATATACCCCCCTCACAAAAAGTTCCTGAGATTCGTTTTTCAGGGCGTGACCTACGAACATCTTGTTCTTCCGTTCGGACTTTCACTGAGCCCCCGGGTGTTTGTGAAATGTACCAAAGCGGCCGTTGCGCCGCTCAGGAGGAAGGGCATTCATCTGGCCACATACATAGAAGACTGGCTCTTAGCTGCCCAGTCAGAGCAGGAAGCGCGAGAGCACACCAGACTACTCACGGAGGCCACTGGGCTTTCGGGTGAATATCACCAAGAGCGTTTTAACTCCCACTCAGACCATCTCTTTCATAGGGTTGAGCCTGGACTCAGTTTCGTTCAGGGCACGACTATCTTTGGAGAGGGTGAGAGTTTTTCAGACGTGTCTAGCCCACTTTCAGAGGGGGAACTACGTCACTTTCAGGCTATGTCTCAGACTTCTGTGATTAATGGCATGGTTTTAGTCGCTGTGCAGTTCGGCCGCCTGTACATGAGAGAGTTTCAATGTTGGGTGGCCTCCCTCAGACTGAACCAGTTACGTCACAGCCACCGCCGAGTTTTGATTTCAGTAGACTGCGCGTTGGCACTGCGCCAGTGGAGACAGCCGGCCTTCCTGACAAGGGGAGTTCCGATGGGCACCATCCTGGCCAGAAAGATGGTCACATCGGATGCATCCCTCTCGGGTTGGGGGGCCACCCACGAGGGCAGATCAGTGAATGGAGTGTGGGACCCACACTTACGATCGGCCCACATACCTGGAGCTATTGGCAGTTTTCCTGGCTCTGAAACTATTTCTCCCTTATCTAGCTGGCCATCATGTTCTTGTCCGAACGGACAATACTACGGTGGTGGCTTACATAAACCGACAGGGAGGCCTGCGATCTCGGCAGTTGCACACGTTGGCACACCTACTGATTGTGTGGAGTGGAGTGCACTTTCTGTCTCTGAAAGCCACTCACGTACCCAGTGTTTTGAATCGGGGTGCGGATCTGCTGTCGAGGGGCAATCCTCGCTATGGGGAATGGCAGCTACATAGAGACGTAGTGTATCAGATCTTCGGGAAAGCTGCCGTAGATCTATTCGCCACCAGAGAAAATGCTCAGTGCCCGTCGTTCTTCTCTCTGAACGACCAGGATGCGCCGATGGGAGTGAACGCGCTAGCACACCCGTGGCCGTGCGTCCTCCTGTATGCGTTTCCGCCATTGGCGCTGATACCACCAACTCTGACCAGGGTGAGACAAGAGGGGCTGTCACTAATTCTGATAGCCCCAAACTGGCTGGAGAAGCAGTGGGTGGCGGAGATAGACCAGTTGCTGTGCGGACAGCCCTGGCCCCTCCCACTACACAGAGATCTCCTATCACAAGCGCAAGGGGAAATCTTTTGCCCTCATCCAGAGCGTCTAGCTCTTTGGGCTTGACCCGTGAAAGGTCCAACCTAACTACCGTAGGTTTGCCCGATAACGTTATAGCGACGATTCAGAGTGCCAGGGCCTCATCTACTCGAACGCTTTACGGGCATAAGTGGCGAGTTTTTGAGGAGTGGTGTGCGAAATCACAGGCGGTGCCTTTTCAGTGCTCTATCCCTGTGATTTTGTCCTTCTTACAGGAGCTCTTGGAGAAGGGAAAAGCCTTTTCCACTATTAAAGTGTATTTGGCTGCAATATCCTCCTGCCATGTGGGCTTCGATGGCACAATAGTGGGACAGCACCCCCTGATATGCCGTTTTATGAAGGGAGCGCGCCGGCTCCGCCCTGTATCCAAGTCACTCACTCCTTCGTGGGATCTGTCATTGGTGTTGGAGGCTCTAGCATACCCCCCTTTTGAGCCTCTACATGACGTGGATCTCAAAACATTATCAATGAAGACAGCCCTTTTATTGGCGCTAGCATCAGCGAAACGGGTCAGTGAAATCCATGCGTTTTCGGTTCACCCAACCTGCACTCAGTTTGCACCGGCGGATCTTCAGGTCATATTGAAACCTAACCCTGCCTTTATCCCCAAAATTGTCGATTCGTCAGCGGTGTTTCCCCATCTTGTGCTGACGGCTTTTTACCGCCCACCGTTTGCCTCTGATGAGCAGCGGCGTTTACACCTGCTATGTCCGGTGCGCGCGCTGCGCATTTATCTGAACAGGACTGAGGAGTTTAAGAAAACTGATCAGCTGTTTGTATCCTGGGCAAGACTTCACCTTGGGAAGCCCATCACTAAACAGCGCCTGTCCCACTGGATAGTGGGGGCTATAGCTTTAGCTTACTCCAGCAAAAGCATGCAGCCTCCCACTGGCTTGAGGGCACATTCCACGAGGGGAATGGCAACATCCTGGGCCCTGTTTCAGGGCGTTTCTGTTCAGGAGATTTGTGCTGCAGCTAACTGGGCCTCGCCTCATACCTTTATCCGGTTTTACAGGCTGGATGTTACTGCGCCTACCTTGGTGCATACTGTGCTTAGTGTATGCCCGCCTGAGGGGCGGGACCCACCGGCCAGGGAATGATTCCTCTCTGAAGGGGCAGACTTACATGGCTTGGGGCGGCCGGTTTTCCGATGTGAGCTTGTCTGGCAATACGGGAGTCGGTATATCCCATAGTGAGATACCGAAACAAATGCTTGAAAGAGAACTTTAGGTTACGAACGTAACCCCGGTTCTCTGATAGCATGAGTGAGGTATCTCAGCAGACCACCGTCCTTGCGTGAATCGAGGAAGAGTTGTGCTCATTTTGAATAACAAAGTGATGTTGTGTCAGCCCTTAAATACGGAGGAGGGGCGGCTCCTCCCTGACGCGCACGTCCCGGCTGCCAGCCAATAGGGGCTGGTGTATTGATACAAGTGCTTCTGAGGACTATGCAGAGGGGCGTACCCATAGTGAGATACCTCACTCATGCTATCAGAGAACCGGGGTTATGTTCGTAACCTAAAGTTTTCTTACTACTGCTGCCACTCCAGCTTTCACTGACTAAAAACACTCTGGTCCGGTAATGAGTCTTCCGTGTGCTCTCAGATGATTGCAGGTGAGGGAGAGCAGCTACCTAGGTAGCTAATAACTGGTCTATGCAAAGCAACCAGGTGAAGAATTTGACAGCAAAGCAATTTGACAGAGAGTCTGATACTGTTAACAGGCTCTCTTTTTCTAATCTTTATTCAATATTCTCTATAACAGGACTACATTCTGCCCTTATTAGACTAGCACAGGGGTCGCCAACCCAAATATTAAAAAGAACCATTTTGTCCTTTCAACAAAAATCAAACCACCTTGGGAGCCACAACATTTTATGTCTATTCTACTATCTTGGCTGTAAATATGCCTCAGTATATGCTAATGTAGTAGTGCAAGTTAAAAAATATAATATAAATGAAAATCTAGACTTACATTGCTGTGCTTTAAGCTTTAGCTCAGTTATAGCTGCTTTTTATTCTCCGGCACAAAACTTTTCCTCAAAAGTAGAGCAGTTTCTGGTAAAATGTCTCTCAACATTTTACTTTTTATAAAGGCTGAAGTCGCTTCTCATTCACCAGCTTCTTGTTCGAATTTTCCCATTCCTCCTTAAATGGTGCAGAAGTTACATTCTAGCGTCTCAGACACCATTTAAGGTGGAACAGGAAAATTCGAACAAGATGCTGGCGAATGGCGACTTCAGCCTTGTGACTTTTTAGTGTTTGACAGATTCTCGTTGCAGATTAAACGTGTCAGGAAACCAGCTGGAGTGATTATAAACTCAAATAAGTCCATTCATCTCCAAATTATCAGTGTTCGTCTTAAATCTTTCTCTTTGCCTTTTCGTCAGCTACTAGCTAGGCAAGATTTTTGTCTGTGTTGCTATGGTGACCAGCAGTCTAAACACCAATCTTCAGGGTTAAAGGGTGAATTAGCAGTTATCATTAACTCCAGCGTTTAAGACCATTTATTGTTAAAACTGTGTTAGAACAATCAGCAGAGCTTTATTTTACTGCAAAGGAAGATTTTTTATTTTTTCATTAAATTCTATTTCTGCTGTGGAGCCACAACAGGGCAGTAAAAGAGCTGTGTGCTGCTGACCCCTGAGCTAGACTGATAAAGTCAGAAGTTACCAATTGATGATCAATGCTGAATGAGAGCATATACCAGAACTTACCAGCTCTCAATCTCAGCTTCTGTTGTGTTTTTGTATATTATATTTCACTTACAATGAAAGTTTTTTTGTTTTTTTTTGTATTAAATTGATGTATGTATTCTTGCCTGTATTTCTAAATGAAAAAAAAGAATACTGTGGACCCAAGTGCCACTTACGGATTGACTCCAAAAATGCATGTACTCATTTAATGGTACTCATTCATAGGATTTTAAAGAAATACTGTAATATTACTTTAAAAATACTACAGATAACGTTACTATAGAATTTCCCCCACCGCCCAACCCTGCCAGCCCAATCCACAGGAAACTCACTCAAAAAAATCCATAAAATCTATAGGTTATCAGCCCTACAGAAATGCTAACAGTTTGGTATTGTGCAAATCTTAGTTAACCTACCTGGTTTTGAAACAGTAAAAACAGTGACGGGCTGTCTCTCAAATCGAATATGAAGCTCAGGTGGGACTTGAATGTCTTTGCTGTTATCCCAGTTTGTAAAAACGTCTAAAGTAGGAGCAATTCCACGAATTTATATTTATGTATTTATGGTATTTGCACTCTCCCTCATGATGTCGGTGGTACACACACTTCTTTCCCACTTCTTAGTATCCAGTTTTTTTTTTTTGATTGCGTTAGCTGTTTTGCGTTACAGAGACAATGCACTTAATCAGACAATTATTACACCTTCTAATTCATGTCCTTGGCAAAAGAAACATTAAGTTCATCAAATAGCTTCAAAAAAGAAAGCTACTAGCAAAGAGTGTCAAGTGCCCGAGATGTAGTCAAGATATTAAGTAATACTTCACATGGCCTTGTGTTTTTAATATTACTTTATCTTGTTTTAATATTACTTATATACTAGATGAACATTGACTCACTAAATGAACATTGACACAGAAAATTCATTGGAAGGCTACGGTTCTTTTTTATTTTTGTAATAGATTTTGGATCATTTGAAAAAAAAATCAGTAAATACCCTCATATTACAAGGTAGCTATATTGTACTACTTTGAATTGAAATGCAAAAGCCAGTTTTAAATGAACTAAAATTAAAACACAGATAGATGATGGTTACACCTTATAGGCCACTATATTTTTGGTTTCCACTTTTTTCTCATGCTTTTACAGGGAATGCCAGCATAAAAGTCACAGAGCCAAGAAATACAGCCGGACTCTGAGAGTGGGATCTTTTTTGAAAAATCCAAAATCAGCTTGTTGTCATGGATGACATATGTTTACAGGTAAGCCTAAAATAATGGAATGTGTAACGCAGTGATTTGTATACCAAAACCTGATGATTAATCTTTTTAGACAAATTAAGCCTTTCACACTTTCACATAGTATTTTCTGATATTATGCCTGTAGAGTCTCTATTAAATCTCACAACTGTATAAACTTTCTTTTCTATACTGTAGAAGAATATTTTCTATTTAAAAGTAAATAAACACTGACCAGCTCCTTCATTAAGTCCATCTCCTTGTTTCTACAGTTACTGTCCATTTTATCAGCTCCACTGACCATATAGGAGCACCCACAGGACCACCACAGAGCAGGCATTATTTGTGTGATGGTGTGTTAGTGTGTGTTGCACTGGTGCAAGTGGATCCGACACAACATGCTGCTGGAGTTTTTATACACCTCAGTGTCACTGCTGGACTGAGAACCAAAACAGCACCCTGTGACTGCTGATGAAGGACTACAGGATGACCAACACAAATTGTGCAGAAACAGATGAGCTACTGTCTCTGACCTCTGACAAGGTGGACCAACAAGGTAGGAGTGTCTAATAGAGTGGACAGTGAGTGGACACAGTGTTTAAAAACTACAGCAACACTGCTGTGTCTGATCCACTCGTACCAGCACAAGACACACTAACACACCACCACATCAATGTCACTGCAGTGCTGAGACTGATTCGCCACCCAAATAGTACCTGCTCTGTGTGGGTCCTGTGGAGGTCCTGACTGTTGAAGAACAGGGTAACAAAGTATGCAGAGAAACAGATGGACTACAGTCTGTAACTGTAGAACTACGAAGTGCTCCTATATGGCAAGTAGAGCTGATAAAATGGACAAAGAGTGTAGATACAAGGTAGGTGTGTTGTATTGTGGCACTTTAATGCCATCTCACACACACACACACACACACACACACACACACACACACACACACACACATACATGCACACACTCACAGTTACTAAACCGCTTATCCTTCTGGGTCATGGGGGGAGCTGGAGCCTATCCCAGTGGTCATTAAGCGGATAGCAGGTTAAACCTCACCAAAATGTGACTAACTTGGCAATGGAATATATCTGTTGAGTGATTAGAGATAAGCTTTTCTGGAGATTTCTTGGTGTCATTTATAATGTTGAATTTTGGGGTTCTCTAACATCAAGATTTACTTCAATATCCACACATTAACCTTGCCTGTTTGATTCTGCTTAGTGGTAATCATGCTTGTCTAATTATTAAAAATACCTGATACATTAAATGGACCAGGTTTTCTCAAGGCTTGCGCCTCAGGCAAATTGACATGATGCAAGATGGGATTGCAAGAAGCTCAAGGACGCCCTCCAAGATGGCTTCAGTTCTAAGGAAAATTTGCCACCGTGCCATGAAACAATATACCAGAAAACAAGGGCAGATGATTGGAGGTGCAAGAGAATTCGCTCTGGATGAAAGCAACGTCCGCCACAAAGGTGGGTGACATTTGACATTCATCTTAAGCTTAATTTTCTACCTATAAGTCTTTGGGTAGTCTCAGTAAAACATGCCCTGAATACATAGGTCGTGCCTGGTGATGATTACCATCATAACAGTTCCCAGTGATGGTATGCAAAATGTGCATCTTGGAGATGTGACAATGCATTATGTAAAATGGATATTCTATTAATTATGCCATCTAATGCAACTGTATTGTTTAAACACTAATTTTTGAAAACAGTCAGCACCAATCAGCAACTCACTCCATCACTTCTCCTGTGTTCCAGATGTGTCATTTGTAAGCTGTATAACAACAATATTATAGTCATCATTTTTCTTCATTCAAATTTTGTTCAAGATATTGTGAGAATGTGGACCCAGTATTGTGAACCAAATTTTAAAGATTGGAATTAGCCTTAACAAAAACCCTGACCGGTGTCTCCTTGTACATCCCTAAATATAGATGTACTTAGTTGCTTGCTTAGTTGCCCGCCTAACTTTTAAGCCTGCCCAGACTTTGTGCCAGAAAATACAAGCAAACAAAAACAATTTAACACAACCCAGCTGGCCACCAACGTCAAAAGATGTTGACATCTGGTTGAATATTGGTCGTGACGTGAAATTCAAAGAAACAGACAACGTCTAATTCCAACGTCAATTTGACGTAGAATAATGATGACAGC